GAAGATCCCAGCTCCTGTCAGGGAGCCTCTCTATCCCTGCCTCTCTTTCTGGTTACCATTTTCTTTCCCTGCCTTTCCACTGTCCACACCCCTTCACTCCCACCTGTGATCCCACCTGCTGAGATAGCCTTGGGTACTTCACTGTCTTGTGGTTTCCCTCCACCCTCCCCGCATTGGTCAAAAGCCTCTTCATTGAATTCTTCTCCAATTACCCCAATTGGCGTGGGTCATCTGTTTCCTCCTGGGACCCTGCCTCATACACCAGGATAAAGTGCTTACATTTTGTTAGCAGTATTCTTAGATCCTTTGGTAACCGTGTTGCATCTGGAGAAATTATAATACTGTATCACAGATCTTTTTTATTTTAGCTTTCGTTTCCAGGGTTTTTATAGTGTTACAGGAAATGCAGTGACTATATACATGATGCATGACAGAACTACGTGGTACTTGAGAGACAACTGGTCCATTGAGAACAAAATGCAGGCGGAGGCCATGAAGTTCACGTCTTGAGCGGCATTCCCATGCACACCCCTCTCTGGGGAATGCCGTCCCAGTAACTGCAGAGCCCATTCCCCTCTCCAGGTTAAAACTTCCTCTTCACCCTGGTGTTATTTGGAAAACTTTTCAGCCATAACCATATTTAGTCATATTTGAGGTGGGGGGGGGAGTGGTAAGTCAAAAGCTAAAAAAGAAAAATAAAGAATATATATATATGTGTGTGTGTGTGTGTGTGTGTGTGTGTGTGTACACACTTCCATAGTTGAGATCAGTTTACTCCTAGCATACTTGTCTGGGAAAGCCCCAGTCAGAGGTCACACAGCTAACAAAACCAACCAGAACCCAAACCTCTCCCTTCAATTGAGTGGACACTGGCTGCTTTCATTCATCTCAATCCAAGAAACATCATGTCAAGTCATGGCTTTGTCACACGGTTGGGAGCCTAAGTTAAGTGGCTGCCAGGCCCCGGCTGCAGGAAGACAGTCCATGCTAATCACTGCAAATCACAGCTGTCTTTTTTTTTTTTTTTAAGCGAGTTTCCTTCATCAAGATAACAGAAATTTACTGACAAAAGGAAACTTACAGACAGCCCAGAGGGGAAGCAGGAGGTAAGAGTGAATTGCCCAGTTAAAAACAGGAACATGTGCAGAGGAGAAAGTTTCCCTCCCGGTGGAAACTAAGCCAGGTTGCCAGCACCCTGAGCAGCTGCTCCAGGATTGGGAGCCCCTGCACCACCCCTTCCCCAGCCCCCCACCCCCACACAACACACGGTAATATGGTAACCAGACCTCAGGGCTCACACCTTCTGAGAAAGCCAGGGAAGGCTAAGGAGCGCCTGGGCTCAGGAAAATAAGAAGCAAAGAAGAAAGGATGTAGAGGTTGGTTAAAAATAAAACTTATCAGATGAGAATTAAGTCCTAAGTCCGGAGAATGTTATCTCTCCCCACAGGAGGGTGGAAAAAAAAATAGGCATGTCAAGGAGAACACGGGCCACAGGATGAATAAGCATAAAAATAGGAGGAAATGACCAAGCAAACGTGCCAACTCTGCAGGAGGAGGGCCTTTCTTGAGGTGCTGACTCTCCAGGACAGGCCGGTAACCCTCAAGTGGTACACAAGAAACTGGCCAACCCACTGTTTCCCGTGCTGATGTATTTTTCCCCTGTACCTTTTTCCAATCGATTGCTTGCTCTCTCCCCCACCCTAGGCCCCATGTACTTTTACTACCTTTTCAGAAAAAATAAAGGTTCTTGGGGAACTCCTGCTTACCAGCCTTTTTATGGCAGGTAACCTCACCCCCAGGGAATTTTTCAAAATCTAGAAGCTGGCAAGTGCTTAAGCCCCTCTCCAGCTGCTTGCTACTGCTTCGTTCATCCTCACCCAGGCCCTGGGCATGACCAACCGCCGAACAGCCGCCCGCCTCCCCACCCCCGCCCACCTACAGCTTGTGGGAGATCTGACAGGAATTTGGGCTACTCCCAAAACTCCCTTCACAACAAGCCGACCACACCCGGACCCTGTTCTCTTTTAATTCCCTGGAAGCTCACGAATGATAAATAAAACAGCCCCTCCATTCCTCAGCCCAAGTCACCTTCTGCCTGTACGCCCGCCAGGCATCTGTCGTAAGAGATACGCTGTTCTCCCTCAAAAAACAGGCACAGAACAAAGACTACTTGTTAAATTAATTTTTAATGACCCTGTGTTTATCTGCTCCTAAAATTATGAATTTCATTCCACAACTGCTCTTAAATCTGCAATGCAAAACTGTGACCATAAAACACGACAGCCACTCTCCAAGCTCCCTCTCTGGCTTTCAGCAAAGAATTACAGAGTGGTCTTTATAAATTTTCTGAAAAATCTCAGCACTCAGGAGTGCGAGCAGCAACCACTTCCCAAAAAGCTGACTATTCTAAGTGCTAAGTTTATCAAAGGTCAAACAAACAGGATTTGAGAAAGAAATCTGGTGCTTTTTTGACACTCATAGTATCTATGTAAGCAAAAGAGCTGTGCTGAAGAAATTAAAACGACATCCTTCTACAAGCCACCTTAAAAAGGTTAGGCAGAGACTGCTCAAGTGCCTTGGAGAACTAAAAATGTTTATAAACCTCCACTCAATGTCACTCAGAGGCGATGAAAGTATTGCTAAGACGCCGGGGCCTTGCTGTCTTCTCCCTCGCTTTCTACTTCTCCGATGGAGACCTGTCCGTGACAGAACTACACGGACATCTCAGCTCGACCTCAACCCCAAATTGGGAAGGCAGGTGTATCAAAAAGAAAAATCTGCTTTCCTCCCCAAGAGCGTGTCAAAACAGGGACAGGAGAGCCGCAGTTGGCATGCTGCCCAGATGGCCCCATCAGGCACCGTGGGCTGCCGGGAGGCCTCCTAATGGCACCCAGGAAATCCAATCTGTTTCCCTTCCAGTGGCCCCATCCTGCTCGTGTCTGGCGTTAGCCCAGGAGGCCAAAGTGGGGCCTGAGATAGCCAAAGGTCCCCCGGGGAGCCTGAGAGGCATGCGGGCAAGATCCCATTACCAAGTCAAGGGAGGACGCCAACTAGGAATTTGGTGATTTCTGTTCATGTGGTTGACACTGAATAACTGACATTCCTTTAGAAGGCTGGGCAGGACACCCCTGTCGATAACCAAAACATTATGTAAAATGCAAGCAGCACGCTCCCCTTCTCCCTTCTCTGGACTCCACTCATTCCTACTTTTCTGTGTGCCATCTCCTCTGCAGGGAGGAGATGACCACCAAAGACCACAAATCCTGAGGAGCGGCAAGTCCCAAGTCAAATCCTGGGTGCTACTCCATTACCCTGTCACCTCAGACAAGCCACCTAACTGTTCTGAGAACACTTCCTCCTGTGCAGAGAAGAGCCGTGTCACAGTGGCTGGAAAGAATAAACAAGTGAGAGCACGTAGCGCAGGCCTGGCACATAGGTATTCTTGGAGTCCAGGGAGTCATTTTACCCATTGTTCTACGTTAAGTCTCTTTAACCTCTCACCCCAGCCTTGCAAACGTAAAGGACACAGGTGCTGGTCAGCGCAGCCTCTCCAAGGGCCTAACCTAGCAACATGGAGAAACAGCAACGTATTAAAAAATCACATTCAGATGGGAGCCGAGTGGGTCTGAGTAGATTGGTTCTTTAATATAAACTAGCATGTATGACCCAACAGAGTTCAACTATAACCAGCCTCATTTTGAGAAAAACTATTTCTCTCTACTCTGTTTTGACAAGTCTCTAACCACCTGGCTAACTAGTGGTATTCGTTTCATGTCAGAGGGTTCAAGACTGGAGCCAGGTCAATCTTGTCTTATGTTTATTTAAAATTAACTTTACTAAGAACATCCTTTCGGCTAGTCCTTATAGTTAATCAAATATAAAAGTACCTGACATGTCCAAAGTCCTATTTTATACAAACTGCTGACCCAGCATGGCATTTCCCATCATTGCTTTCTAAAACACAGGAAATTTCGGGACTGAATGGCCAAAAGAAATTAGGATGACCCAGCCTCGAAAGAACCCGAGTTATTTAAAGAAAAAAACCAAAATCATGTCTGAATGGATAGTTCATGATTCAGACAGCCCAGCATTTAATTGGTATTAACTACTCTACTGAAGATCTTCTTAATGCACTTAGGTAAGACTTTTTATTTCCATGAAATTGGATCTTTGGTTCAAAATTGAATCTCCTGCCGAGGACTCTGCACTATAAAGGTGACGTAACACTGAGGTGGGCTCTTAACATTTCATTGCCAGGAATATAAAGGAAATTGATCAGATTATTTGCCAAATAATGTTTCTTTAGCAGGGCTAAGTCCTCCCCTAAGTGGGCTGTCAAAGAGACGACCAAAAAGCAGACACTGTTACAGTTTTATTTTCCAGGTTCAATCTTCTAGGGCTCAGATTCAACCATGAGAAACATCAGTGCATTAAAAAATTGATTTGGTATTTGGTTTATTAGTTTATAGGACCTTTGTCTAAAAAGGAAGAAGCAAGGCCTAAGAGGTCAGATCTTCCGGCAAGTCCAAATATTGACTCAAGTGAAAGAAGCAAGACACATGACTGGAATGACATGCTATTCCTTCAGAATCTTGTCACTCGCATCCTCATGACATTAGCAATCATGGGAAAAAGCTATAATTTTATGGAATACAGAAGTCCTAGCGAACAACATTCTTTCCTTCTCTCTTGCTGAAAGTTTTTCAAAACTGTTCCAAAGGAGGAATGTACCCTGTCTTGTCTCCAGTTATTCTTTTGTTACTCCTATAGCCCCACGCTACTCATGGGCAGAATTTTTCTTTGTTCAGCTTTCAGATTCATAGTGGTCAGAGACCTATTCCAATAGGTAAATAGATACAGAATGACACGGTGACCAAAGCATTCTAAAACTCTTAGCCTCAATCTGTAAGTCGATGAGAGAAAGACGTGTATAAAAAAATTCTAGCTTGCCCTTTTTGCTAAAGATGCAGGAAATGAATCAAACCATGAAAACGCCAAGGTAGGAGAGCAAGTTTATTCAACAAGTATTTACTGAGCCCTTAAAGTGCCAGGCACTATTTTAGGTGCTGCGAATACATTCCATTGATGAAAAACATACAAAAATCCCTGTCTTCATTGTGCTTACACTCTAGAGGAAGGATACAAGACAAGAAACGTAATAAATAAGTAAATTACATAGGAGGTTAGAAGGTGATAATTACTATGAAAAAAAAATTGAGCAGTTGTGAGAATGAAGACAAGTCTTATCTGGAAATTTTCCAAAACCAGAAATGGGAAAAAAAAAATGTTTCTTTCTTGGAAAGTGTATATTATCTATAAATGACAAAAGAATATATTTCTGGCTCTTTACTGTTTATGGCATTCCTATGCAAGAAACTAAAGGGATTTAAAGATATGAAAATGGAACTGAAAACCAGAAAGACTAACTCTCCTAAAACAGGTGTACAATCCGGAGTTCTTGAGTTTGCTGCATTAGCAGGACCTCCCACATTCCTAGTGAATTCCAAGATTCTGGACATTCTGCCAGACACAGTGGGTCCGAGAGTCAATTCCGTTGAGGAAAGGCTCCTAGGGACAGAAACGTGTAGACACACTCAAATAGTCTCACGGGATTCTCTTGATTCATCTCCATTTCCTTTTTAAAACACAACACCCCATTTTTTGTTATTTTCTCATTCTGTTAAAGAAGGGTGAGCGCATTAAAAAAGGAAAACTGAAACATGGGAATGCCTACATTTCCAACCCCACTGCCATTCGCAGACTGTCCAAGATGCACACAGGCTTGTCGGGTATTGGCCTTTTGATACCATTACCAGACGTGGTTGCTTCTGAACTACCAACCAGGTAGGTTCTTTTCCCCCCTTTGACTGAAATTCAAATTCCATTTCAACAAAGTAACCTAAACAATTAAGGTCTAGTTTTTGCCTCTGGGAAATTAGGTTCTTTAAGTTAGAAGTGAAAGTAAAAAATAGATGGTGTATCATCTCTGACCAGAAAGTCCTATTTTCAGCAAAATGGAGGAGAGGCAGAAAGTCTAGGTTTCAGGACAAGGAAAAAAAAAAAAAAAAAAAAGAGTGTCCACCCACAGGATACTTATAAACTGATGACTATGACAGCAGCCCTTTCTAGAGTAATAATGTCATTAGGTTGTGATGATTCTCCAGAAACCCCAAAAGCCCTGGATTAAGAACATCTGGAAATTGTTCAGATGACACAAATTTCTGTTTCCTGCAGTTAAGGTTTCACGGATGCCTCTCTGTGGCATCTGTCACCATTTTGTTTTTCTTTGCAAACCTCCTCCTTTCAAATCAGGAAGTGTACATAAAGTGCAAGTAAGATTCATTCCCTTGCCCATGCTTCCAGGATCTCGTTTTGGTAGCCAGTATTATCAAATCTATCAGTTGAACCGCTGGCCCGCTGGGTCATCTGCAGGTATTTCTGGAGTTAGCAAAATGAGTTCATCTGGCAAAGAGAGTGTCTGAAGGTGGAGGATGCAGTCTTGGCAAGAAAACACAAAGTACCATACGCAAGACAGGGATGTGAATGATGCAAGCAGTCGGAGGGGGCTTCTTGTCACCGAGTCACTGAAGAGGCCTTCTTTGGATCTCAACTCTTAAAGAGATCTCAGGAGCCATGACTAAAACGAACGAGGTCAGCGGATTTCAGAGCACGGTCAATCCTCGGTGAGGGCAGATTCTGTTTTCCCTGGGTTGGGGGCAGAAAGAAAGAGGGTAAGGAGCCAGGTCTGATGAGTTTAATGCCACAAATGGCATCAAAAAAGCCCCCAGTGAATACTTCCTATCTTATAACATAAAGGAGAGCATGGTGCCCCTCGACAGGACTTAGCACAATGTGTTTTCTTTGGGTTTTGATAAGAGTATGGTCCAAATGGGTCACAGGTTAGGTAACATTACGTACATCTTTATTTCAATCTTGGATGAATTTTTCTTGATTACTATGCCAAATGGCCACTGTGACTGTTCAAGAGAAGGATACAGTAAGTAACATTTCCCATATTCAGTGGGCCAGAAGCTTACCTTTCGCAACCCCCCCACCGGCAAGACCACAAACAAGCAGGATGAGTGTTTCAATACAACATATTTTGGGAAATGCTGCCTTACAGCTGGAGGCAGGACAGGAATGGTATTAAGGCTGGAGGGGACAGGAACCGTGCAAAGTCATATTCGGTTTGTATTATGTGAGCCCAGTGTTTGTAGAGAGTCATACTGCCACATCAATATAATTAATTAACCGTTATAACTGGGCTCCAATGTATCCCCTATGAAATGTGCCAAAATCATGGGCCAAACCTTTTGTTACGTTTGATGAGTGAACATTAATGACAAAAAGTTAACTATGTATGGTCACAAAATACGTGGACATTCACAAAGGAGGTCCTTTGCATTTTTTTTTCCTGATTTTTCCAGCAGAGGTAAGGCCAGAGTTTCAGGATTCAGCCCCTCAAGATGTCATTACATATGAAGGTAAGCCACAGCTGGGACTGCGCAGAGTACAGCCGACCCTTGAACAATATGGGTTTGAGCTGCACGGGTCTACTTCCGCTCGAGTTTTTTTCCATAAATACAGAGCAGTACTGTCAATGTATTTTCTCTCCCTAATGATTTTCTTAAGAGCATTCTCTTTTCTCTAGCTGACTTTATTGTAGTACAGTATATAATACATAGACCATACAAAATATGTGTTAATGGTTTATATTTAAGGCTTCCTGTCAACAGTAAGCAATTAGTAGTTAAGTTTTGGAGAGTCAACATGTATATGCAGATCTCTGCAGCGGGGTGCCGGGGAGGGAGTGTCTGGGGTCAGCACCCCAAACCCCACCCCCCACTGTTGTTGTTCAAGGGTCAAGTATGTATTAGAATACATACACAAATGTTACATAAAAGTCACAGGCTGACTAGATTAAAAGTCACAGAAAATTCTCAAACACATACTAGTTAAATTCCTGAATTTCTTTTTGGCTTCTGCTCTCTCTTCAGCATCAAAGTACCAAACAGTCATGGCGTATCTGTGAAAGATAAGCAGATATAAGACAAGAGATTTAAAAATACCACCAAGAAACAAAAAATATTTAAGTCTCACATCAGAGTCATTTGTAAAGCCAACATTTAAAGTTTTCCCTATTATTAGAAGTCTGTCCCAATTTTAATTTAAAATAAACTTCTCTGGTTGCAATTCTATTTAAATGTAATAAAACATGTAAGGAATTCCAAGTATGCACCAGGCATTATCCTGAGCAATGGGAATTCAAATGATCTTGTGAATAAATCTGCCTCTTTCTCAAGGAGCTCAGGCTCTGACAGGGGAGACAGGCAAATTTAACAAATTAATGTAACAGGTCGAGATGATCTACAGAGGAAGGACGAGAAGGGAGCCATTCTGCTAACGACTGGGAGACCCAAGCTGTTGGGGAGAACAGAGAGAAGAGGAGGTGACACTAGTAAAGTTCTAAAGAATGACTTATTTAAAGGACAGGACACTTTAAGCTCTTGGCTTGCTTCTTTAGTTTTGGAGACTAACACAATGATGCAACAGAATAATGATGCCCTCAAGCTTTCTACTGTGTTCCCAGTAATTTGCTTTATACCATCTATGGGATAGACTGTAATAGGAATCATTTCATGTGTGAGTTTTCAAAAAGTTTCATTTTATAATTATTATTAGCTACTGGAATTTCTACAGCACTTGATTTTTTTTCAAGAGCTGCCCATCAACAACTGCTAGTGTTTCTCCTGTGACTTGGGTCATCAAGAGATTGGGGAAGACCGAGGGAATTCTGCAACAATTGACAGGGGCCAATTATCGTACCCCATTAAACAAGCCACTACCAGGCTTTGGTAGTAGAATTAGTTACTTGCTCACCTAGGGCACTTTCCCATTTGACATTCAATATGCAACTCCGTGTGGGGCTCAGACCTGTGATTTCTGGAGGGGAACGCCTAGAAAGCTTAAATACTTTACACATGTGATTCTAATTTAATTAGGCTTGTTAAGGTTCAGTCATTATCCCACCGAAGCTCTCTCCCCCAGCCCCCAAATGCAATTCAGTTGCAGTTCAAGCTGCACCCCCACAGCACTTGGCCACCACCTGGTTTACAGCTCCGGCCATAAAACAAAGGTAGTGAGAGGCATATCCCAAAACTAAGATTATATCCAGAGTTTTCAGACTAACACTAAACAATACAAGTTCAATATTCAGTTCCTCTGAAAAATCTCATGCTTGATCTCAAGAAGAGGCTTTTAAAAACCCCATTACTGGGACATGATGGGTACAGAGGGCCCAAACCAACTTTAAGAGAAGGAAAGGGTAAAAAGGAAAAGAAGTCAGAACAAATTCCTTTTTCTTTTCTCAATGTTCTTTCTCTGTTTGCAAGAGGCCTCTTGTAAAAATTCATCCAGAGTTAACCATCAGAATTCCTGATATGTGATAGCCAACATTCTCTAGGGATACTTCAACCTTAGATTTGTTTCAGGGAGGAGTGGCAAAGGAAGGAGGGGAAAACTCTGTGGGAAATCTGGAATCCAGGCAGCCTCGGTGGCCCAGCGGTTTAGTGCCGCCTTCAGCCCGGGGCCTTGATCTTGGAGACCCGGGATCCAGTCCAGCCTCGGGCTCCCTGCAGGGAGCCAGGGAGCCTGCTTCTCCCTCTGCGTGTGTGTCTGTGTGTGTGTGTATGTGTGTGTGTGTGTCTCATAAATGGATAAAATCTTTAAAAAAAAAAAGAAATCTGGAATCCACTGTGTTCACCTAATGGTAAACAATTTGTTAATAGTTCCAATCGATGTTAGTGGCAATAGTTCCAATTGACTAAAGAATCTAGTTGCTTAGTTGCCCCTTTAAAGTGTTACTGCCTTCAAACAGGTTTGCTATCAGCTTTGGGGTGTGGCTGGTCCCTCATATGCACAGGACATGAGCTTAGGGACTTCTCCAGGAGCTGGGTTTTGTACAAAAAGCTTCTCAGGAAGAGTCATGGCCCTGGCTATTATTACCTGGTTGCATAGGAAGGCTGGACTTCATGTGGATTCCTGCGGTCTGACCAGAAGAACAAGAGTCTGTCAAAAATGGGTTCCACATCTGCTATAAATGACTTCCCTTCTGGAAATATCCGCAGGACCCCACCGTGTAGCTGAGGGCCACAAAGAAGATGGATTATTTACTAGCCTCACACATAATTAACTAACAATGCTATTTCAGCCTCATCTATAAATAATGCCATCTTCCAAACTCCAGTCCCGATATGTATCACTCCTAAAATTCTCTTTAACCTTATACCTTGTACTATTGTACTACATTTTATTTCAAACTTAGCTGGTCATCTCTCCTCATCCACTTTACCCCAAGTCATAAAACTCACGGATACAAAATGCAGTGCTATTAGATCCAATCACACAAAAGCGTCAAGACTTGACTGTTTTTAACCTACAAAAACCCACCAGCAATTTCATATGGCTCCATCTAATATTAAGAACATCCTAGGATAGTCATCACATATAACATCCCCTTCAATCAGAATTTACAGCTTTCTTTTGAACTCCTCCAGCTCCTATGTGATCTCATCACTGGAAGTTACACATTCTCTTTTTTCTGAACTCAGACCACCTTACCTACGCTTTTTATTACATGCATCACTCTATTCCTTGGATAACTTTTTAAAAATTTGTACACCCAAATCTCCTGCTGAGATAGCCATATCAAGGTAGAATTGGGGCCTCACACACCAGTGTTTCCATACAGCATAATGCCTACCATTAACAGGCACTCAAATATTTGTTGAATGATTTCATACTTCATGATTTATTATCACTGACCAGATAACTTTACTCTCTAGCTTGTAACACTACCTTTCAAGATTTTAAGAGATAACTAAGGGACATATTCCAGTCACGTTACCAAATAGGGAGAAGAGACATCTGACTCACTGGTTTCCCAGGTTTTGTTTTTCGGACACCAGATAAAATATCCTTGTGTTTTTAAGACGACCAGTATCTCCCCCCACCCCTAATGAACAGGAAATGGAGATGCAGAAGGTTCAAAAGCCACATGAGCTTGAAAAATTCTCTGACTTCTCAGACTCCTAAATCATCCTTAAGTTTCAGAGAGCATATAAATTCCAGACAAAATGTCTGTCAGCATGGAACCAGACTTCATATCTCTATCTATCTATATGTTCAAAAATACAAAAATAAGCCAGAGAGCCTTTGACATTCACAAACCATGGTGAGCCATGGCAAGCGGCCACCAATGAGACATATCACCCCGAGAGGACTGTGTGGGAAACCTCGCTTGGGCTGGTTTTATATCTTACAGTTAGTTCTATTTTTGTGGAATTGTCTTAACGTTGCTGCTGGAAGGGTGAAGTATATATCTTACTGTGCACTGAAAGTCATATCAGCTCTGGATTAGACCCCCCAAAAAACTGATCTCTATTCCTAAAATAATAAATTACCTTCTCTTTATCAACCACTTTTCCCAAACTGAGTAATGATGCTCCCTACCACCATTTCCCCCCACAAACACCAGATTAATTTCGCATTCATTATTTTCATCTGGTCAACTTAAGTACTAACATCACAGCAGGAGACAAAAAGGAAATGGTGACGTAGAAAAGATTCATCCGTGGGAATTATGAATCCCAAACGCTCCTCTAAATCATCTGAATTCTTTCCCTAGAGTTTCTAGACCCACGCTCTACTCCCTTTATTCTAGAGTACCTTGGCATCCCAATTCTTGTTCAGATAGTAGATGCAGGTGATGCAGCGGCCATCGCCGTTGGGGTTGTCCACGTGTCGAACATAACCTGTCCCATTTCCTGGGTAGCAAGCCACCATTGCCTATGGAGAAATCCCAAGAAAGCTGGTTAACAAAGCCGAGACCATCTTCTCCCACTGGGGAACAGCTGAGTAACACAGTCTTTTTGGGTGTTGTGTGATGTTTACAGGCGGCCGCAGGCTTCTTAATTGCATGGACAGTACATAAATCAAGATGCTTCGTCATAGAAGATTAACAGCAAAGTCATACCTTATGGTTCAGCCCAAATAGAAAGTGGTTCAGCAATATTCCCACAGTTCTAGAACATTGTAGACAGTAACCCAGCTACCTCATCATGAGGATGTCCTGCTTTTCTCCAAACCTGCTCTTTGAAAAATCAGGTTCTGGGTTCCCACCCTGGACCCACAAAATCAGAATCACTAGGTAATGGCTTTTTGGGATTATGCCTGGTATAATATGTGTTCTCAAAGCATCAAAACACCCACTGTCTCAGAACAATGACTAAAGACCCTGCATTGACAAAGAGACAGGAACCAATCACAAATGAGGAAAGGATCAGGCTTCCTCAATACAATGCTTAGGGATTGAAAGAAGAGGGAAGGAAGCTGTGCCCCAATTTGTTGGCACCGGCAGCACAGTCAGGTCCAATTCATAGAAGAAGCCACAGACACATCTTAGTATGTTTCTCTATGCTCATCTTCTTTCCTACTGGCACCTAGCACATCAGGTGGTAACCTGAAGTTCTCTTCCTTTGCCCAAACACTACTTATATCAGCCAGGTGGAGGAACAAAGTAGAAAGCCAAACAAACACATCCTACTGAAAATTACTATTAGAGAATTACTATTAAGTGGATACCAACCTCTAAATGTTCCATGGGAAAATGACAGCAAGGTGTAGAAAACAATAGGCAAAGTACAAAAGCTAGTTCTCTTCACAGGACACTGCCTTGTTCCTAAAATATTTTCACAGGGATGAGACATATGCAGGGAAGATACTGGAATTGTCAACATAAGATGAGGAAAGGGATATTTTTCCTATTTGTTGGCTACTGCATTCTTAGTGACTAGAACAGTGCCTGACACATGGAAAGGTGCCTGTTTAAAATTTGACAAGTGAACAAATTAGCAAATGGCTCTGTCCTCTAAAGAGTAATTTACATTCTACCTAGATCAATAAAGATTTCTATCATTTTATTTTAAGGATTTATTTATTTTAGAGAGAGAGAGAGAGCATATGTGGGGGAAGGAGCAGAGAAAGAAAATCTCAAGCAGACTCCCCTGCTGAGCACAGAGCCCGACCAGGGGGCTTGATCCCAGAACCCTGAGATGATGACCTGAGCCAAAAGCAAGAGTCAGATGCTTAACTGACTGAGCCACTCAGCTGCCCCAAGATTTCCATCATTTAAAAAAAAACCTATCTTTAAACATGTATGTAGTTGGTATTTTCCCTCACAAACAGGCAGTAACATTTCACTGGTAAAACGATCTCTCAGGTAGAGGCCCAAGCTAATACACTAGAGGCTCAATGAATCAGCTTCAATGCTGTGGGTGCCAAATCACTCTCGGCAGTAGCATGAAGACATGAACAAAGCATGTAGCTTTAAAGGCTTCACACACACACTGCATACTAGAACAATAAGGCTGAAGAGTAACTTGGCTTTACAATTATCTTAATGCTTAAATCACCATATCCCTCATGCTGCTATCAATCCCCATATCCTGCCTTCGAACGTCTAAAATGTCAATGCAATGTCATATCTTGGAGCCAAAGTTAGCCTGTTAGCCTTAACCTCGTTCAGAAAGTGGAATTTTGAGGCCACTGCAATCAAGATTTAACAAATGATGGTACCACCAAGCAAAAGATGGTTCGGAGAAAGCCGATTGGTAGCAGGCAGAAATGACGGGCTTGGCTGGGAAGAAGAGATAAATGAAGTCACCTATAATGACTAGGGAATTACTCATCCCTGGTAGCAGCTCTTAGGATTATAAGAGCCACCACTGAGCCAATAATGAAAGTCACTTAAGCCACAAACAACTATAGGCTAGATTCCCTACCATCTCAGCCTCTCCCCACTGTGAAGCCCTGAAAAGAAGCAGCACTCCATCAATGCTATATAATCTTATATTCTTTAACAGCCCTACTCTACAGAAAAGGTCAGTGGTCTGGATGCCTGCCATCTGGTTCACTCAGCAACTAATTGTGTGATCCCAGGCTTAGTTTCTTTTCTAGAAGGAGGAGCTTAGGTTGGAGGGCCTCCGAAGGTCTAAGACTCTAGCTAAGCAGCAACCCCAGTAGGAGCAACAGGGTTCTTCAGGGCATTATGAAAGCACTTATCTGCCTCAGAATTCAGTTTATAATAAATACAGAAAAAGCAGATACAAACTCACAATAGTACCTCTTTTATGAACTGCTGCTTCTATAAAGCACACATACAGAAAAGGAGCTAGCACATCCCAGGGACTGATTTTGACACAACTTCTAAGTGTCAGCAAAGGGTCTGATTGCTTAAGGAAGGGGAACAGAGAGAACGTTTCTGGCCCGAGTGAATCTTCACCCTCTCTACTGGTTTCTGAAGCCACGGCATCAAGTTTGAAACAATGGAAGGGAATTATTGTGGGCCTCAGTGGGCCTGTCAAAACTACATAGGTCAATTTTATCAGTGTTTTCTGGACAAGAGCCATAGGAGATAGGTCTTGGCTTGGGCACATTCCCAACTATTTGTTGGTCTCCGACAGAGTCTAGAACCAAGAGGCTAATAACGATGTGCTGAGAAGCAGGGCTCATGTCAACCACCAGTCACACACTTCTGTGCCAATCTCTGCACGGGACAGAAACAAACCCCGGAAACCAGTAGGTTCAACTACATTGCTATCTAAACCTCATCAAGCCTGGGAAGGGATTTATAATGTATAAAGGCAGAGAATGCTTCAAAACAGTAAGAAGAGGCCCAGGGTACTTCTATGACCATGTGATCAACATGTCAAGCACTAACACTGACACTGACCAGGAGGATGACTCATTGCAGACTTTCTATTTGCCAAAACCTCCTGACTGGATTCGTATTTGAAATTTATAGAGGTTTAATAACATATTCGTGTGGCCCACAACAGGACATGCAATATAGCCCTATATTCTTGGGTGTGCAAATAAATCCACGCGTCCCCCTATGTGTTCACCATTTCTTCCTCCGACCCCACCCTGCCCCCGCAACACTCCCCACCACCCCTGAAGGAGGCATTTCCAGAGCTCTGTAGCTAAGGGAAATGAACTGACTGAACCCCTCCCAGGCTGGCTCTAGACCAGACATATGTGCTCTAGACATCTTGGTGGCCACGTTCAGGCAGGAACTGTATATGAATTCTTTGAAGATGCACACGAATACATAGAAAAAAATTATAAGGTTTTATTTATTCATGAGAGACACACAGAGAGAGGCAGAGACACAGGGAAAGGGAGAAGCAGGCTCCCTGTGGGGAGCGCCATGCAGGACTCCATCCCCAGACTCTGGGACCACATCCTGAGCCACAGGCAGACACTCAACCACTGAGCCACCCAGGCATCCCGGATACATAGAGTTTTAATAGCCAAATCCAGGTAGCAAAACCTGTTCCCTGAATGCCACAGGTAGAAATGAAAACAGTGGTTCTGCTGGAGATATCACTGAGCTGCCTTCATAAAAAAGTGTATCTCATCAATCCCAAACTTAAGGTTGAAAAATGAAAAGTCAAAGATTTCCATTCCAATGCCTACACAGAATGCTCTTGACTGACACCAGCCCCAGCTTGGTCACACATATAAACCATTTCCAAAAACTGCCATTGGCAACCCCCACTGTCCACTCAGCCACGATGATCATTTTAGACCCACAGATCAGAAGAGGGTGCATGTGCCCCGTTCAGCCTCCAGTGAGACTCACCATTTCCCTAACAATCAATGGCCTAGACTTTTATAGAAATGTATTTCACATTGCTCATGACTTTGGAGTCAGATTCACTAGTATGACTTGATCTTAAACAAGCTGTAAAGTGGCCTTTGACATAAATTTTAACTTAACAAATTAAAATATTAATCAACTCATTTTCCTTGTAAAATCTGCAATAGATGTGAATCCGTCTTTAAAAATTTGTCAAGAATAGCATGACTTCAAAGCTACCTGGTAGAGTGACCTTTAAAACCAGTATTTTGGTCCAATGCCAAATGCTAGACCCTTTTAACTGCTGGGCAGAAATACCAGTCAGTCTTTGTAAGGATTTATTTTGAATTATGAATGGTCTTGGGTGCAGCATATTTTAAATAAAATGCAACCTAAGTACAGGATAACCTGTACTTAACCTCTTGGTTGCTTCAGTTTTCTCGTTTTTAAAATGGGTTAATGAAGGTTGAAGGAGTTAATCCATGTAAAATGCTTTAGCCAAGGCCTGGCATACACTAAACGCTGCTTCTCAGGGTTGTTTAAAGTTCCTGATGTGCACAGCTGTCTTCCCCTCACCCAGGGCTTCTGAATGTCTCCCATCAGGGATCTGATATTCTACTTAAGTGCTCAGTAGCTTCAAATCCAGGCCTGGCAAACTCAAATAGCTTTTGGCACTTCCGAGTAACATAAATGATTGAAGCCAATCGGAAATATATGTGCCTGAACTCTGGCGTGTGTGCTCTGCTGCCTACAACCAGGGAATCTGCCGTCCTTTGCCATGAAGGCCCAATGTCCCAAATCTTCAGATTTTAGGAGAAATACAGGCAACTGAACCAGAGTTGCACGTAAACTCTCTTGAACAGCTTTTATCCCAGGTTTTTAATCATGGCCACAAAAGATACCTCAGGCTGTACTCTGAGGTCACTGCCTATGGTCTCCTAAGTCAAGCAGCTCTGTGACAGCTCCAGAGCTCAGGTGGGCACTCCATCTCTTTTCCCCTGGCTCAGATGCATCCTGTCCCCAGGCAAAGCCCCCATCCCTCAGTGCCATCCACATTCCACAGGCCTCCTCCAGTCCTTCCCCCGTGCTAGCTCTGGACAGGGTCCTTCCCCCTCTCCACCATGAAACAGTTAACCACACGGAGAAC